CCTCATTTGTAACTGCCTACTTGCCAACACAAAATGGATTTGTGAAGAGCTGATTTAAACATGGGACTAGAAAGCAGCATCTGGTGAGCAAAGAGACTCCGTTTTCATCCAGTGATGGAAAACCAAATCAGATCAAATTCAGAGTGCACTTGCATTTGAGGGCTAGTCTGACTCGGGACTCTGTTGGCATAACAGTACATCTTGTCAGTTTATTCTTGAACTTTGAAACAGCATTTACAAAACAATTTCAACAATAGGCAAAACATAATGGTTGATACTAGTCCTTAAAGTGCTAAGAATAATGGAAAGTTCCAAAATATCTACAAATGTACAAGCTATATATGCAAAAGTAGACTAGGTGAAAAGCTTAAAGCAGCCAGCAAGTGGATTTAATATTGCTTTGTAAATTGTTTCCAATGTCGGGAAGCAACTGTTAAACTCATGTTTGCCAATATGTTTAGCAATAAAAACTTAATGAACTTGCTTGCAGATAAAATATAATATATTCCAAAGTTTCCTTTTCCAATACTTATTTCCCAGTTTATTCTATATCATAATGTATAAATGGCAGTATTTGTGTGACTGATCAGTACAAATCTGCACAAAGGATTATTTCTGACAATCATGTGGATCAGAATGGATGTTTTTCTTTCAGGCAGGGCATGAGTCAGACACCAGGTCTTGCATTAACCATTAACCAGGCTTTAGGAGAAGGGTGGGGGCCTGTCCCATGCCTATCAGACACACAGGCTGTATAATCCACACTGACAGCCTGAGGTCCAGTCTAAAAGGGTTTTCCCACTCAGCCTGCAGACAGGTGAGCTTTGATGGCCTCTGGGTTTCAGGAAATTCTGTTATGACCCACTGAGCAAGCAGTAATGCAGCCCAGAGAGCATTCACTCTGAAGGGGACGGTGCTGGACTTTGTCTCAAAGTAATGCTGTGAACCGTGCTTTTTCGTGACTGATATCCTGCTGTACAGCGAGATAATAAGAACAGTGTTCAAGCCCTACAACATGTGTTGAGCCTCAAACTTGTAATTGCTTTGCGATGGGATTTGAGCTACAAGTACAGGATAAAGGCCAGCAAGGTTATTAACAGTGAAGAGCGACTTCACATAAAATACCATGTCGTCGCTATATAGCCATGTGACAATATATCATGTACAAGTCATTTGTCAAATTTCTATTAAGTTGTCACGTCAAGGATGTTGTTTTACTAGATTTGTTATGAATTTTCTTTATCAGCTGACTAAGTGCTAGATTATTAAACTGGAATCCCTTTTTGTTCTGGCTTACTGGCATTTGAGTGGATGCTGTGAAAACATGCTCGTAACAACTGATTCTCCTCACATGAGAGGAACTGGAGGAAACCAGAAAAAGCTAATGGTGATCTTGCATTCCTCCTGTGATAATAACTGCGTGTGTGGTTAACACATGTTGTTTAATGTGCTGCTCCTGGGTGTGTTTGATACCTGGTTACCGCTCTAATTTGATGTGATGCTGTGAGGACGTCTTCTTCCACTTTGTGTTTTGACTCTAAGGACCATTAACACACGTGCACATAATTTCACACTTGTCTAAATGCTTGAAATGTAAATAGTGTTGCCTTAAAATAGCATTACAGCTCAAAGGGCAGAGGGTTTCCTAAAGAGGTAGCAATACAGTAACTCAAACCTAAACATGTGCCAGCTTCCACTGAGAATATTTGTAGGTATAATGTCTTCGATTTCTTCCCTTGGGTGGATCGTCTCATCTAATCGTCTCTTCCGCTCATCATTTATTCATCATCATTTCTCTTGGGTATATTAATAGCCGTCATGGGAATACTACCAGTGATTTGGTTATTCAAAAGTTTGTCTTACCATACACGTCTCCAGGCTATGCCATGATTAGAACCAAGTCCCAGTAACTCTGACATATGGGAAGCATCAACCTTTTCCAGGTTGTCACTTCCTTCCTCTTTATTTTCTCAGCCATGATGGAGAACCGATGGTTATGTCCATTCGACAATGCCCCTGCCCATTAGAAAGGTCACCTCAAGTCATTAAGGGGGTTGCCTGTGGTCCAAAGGTAGACCTTAGACAAATTGAAAGCCAGCAGGATATGAATTACAAATGTGAAAGAGAGCTCTACCTGTATTTCTACTTTTGCTTGATAAGGAAGGAAAGGCTCAGAGGTAATGGCTTGTTTACACTGTTTGGAAAGCGCTGATCTTTTGATTCATGTCATTTGCTCCCAACTCAATCAATCAGGGTATCAATCAGCGGTCTGTGCTTTAAGTAAACATATTAATCGCTTTGGATTTCTGCTTTCCTGATGTCCAACCAAAAGGTCAACAGCAACTCTGAGCGAGAAGAGTCCCGACTGAAGCTAGAGTTTCCATCTTAAGCAAACACTAATTAGTTGAATAAGCAGTAAAACCGTCATTAAAGATGACTTGTTCTGCTGCAATGCAAAGGGCCGAAAAGCTACTCGGTGCTTCTCCCATCGAGGCAGGAAGCCCCAGGTTATAATGGCAATGGCTCCTGACAGACCCTCAGTAGCAAGGAATTTGTTTCAATCAGCTCGAACACGATTAACTCTAAATGTATGTTTTTTATTTGTTTTTGTTGCAGAGACTGTCTCTCTGCCTTACGACTGGTGAATGAAAACTGGATCTTGATAATAAAGTTCAAGAGGGGTAAAAACGCATAAAATATAGGGATATTTGCTTCATACAGGCAAGCAGTGAATAAAAAAAGTTGTCAATCCCTCAATTATGACTTAGATGAGGTCACACCTTGTTCCATTACTTTTTAAAGTATTTATTCCACACTGTATTTGCTGCTGCTCCTGTTAACTTTAGTGTTTCCTGAGCTTTTGTTCAACAACTATTTTATTCATCACTGTTATTAAATGTCTCCCTTATTTTCCACAGAACGCTGATTGATCCCTTGATTGAATACGTTATAACCTTTTAGTTGTTGACGCCTGTATGACATTATCAAATGTTTATCTTAGTTTTACAGGTTCATGTTTGCACAGAACTATTTGTACACAATGGTTTTGATGATAGAAACAAAGAGTTAGCATTTATGTATGCTGGCTGTTAGAGGCTTTTATAACCCACTCTCACTCTCCACTTAGTGGTTGGGAATATGGCAGACCCTCCACAAGAACTGGAAATAGTTTTCGGTGTAGGGGCGGGATTATAATTGTGCCATTCTGTGTGTGTAGAATGGAGGGAACTTTAAGCTGCGTATCAATGTGCGACCCTGTACTGTATGAGGACAATAAAGCTAAACCTTGAACCTATGCATGTTTCTCAACAGTACATAGTGTTGTAATGCTATTATCTTCTTTGTAATGTCCCTCTTGTCACTATTGCTATCTCTTAAATCTAGATTACATAAAAGACCTCAACCTCGGTATGGTTACATGACATTGACCTGTGACTAAATATAATCAATGAACAGTTGATTCTATTTTACCATCCAAGGACAATCCTGTTCTTGACCTTACAGCATATACAATTACATGTACAGTATAATAATGGGCCCCATTACTGCACAGTGTAATGTACATATGATAGTTAAAGATTGTGGTTTGTTCTGTGAATTAATTGGAAACTAATGCGCTTGGAAAAGTGATATGCTGCAGCAGACGTTGTTCACTCTCCACTCTGTCTACTGAATATATTATTTTGATTGTTGTAGTTGCTACCAAGTGAACTCAGTCTTGCTTGTTATTAACACTAGGAGACTAGAATCAAGACTTTTTCCTCTCAGTGACTTTTCAAAATCAAAAGAAATCAAAAAGCTTTTATTGTCAGTGTACAGAATACAACAAGATTTATAGTCACTGCTCCAGCGAGTGCTTTGAAAACAGATATATTAAAACACAAATTAAAAGGTCTGACAGTTACGACCAGTTATAAACAGTAAAACCTTCATGTCAGCAAACACAGCAAAGTTTATACTAAAAACTTTTTTTTAAGTACCTATTGTTCTGTATTTTTTTCATTTACCCACTGAGCTTCAACTCCACAAATAAGGTGGTTTCTTTCTCCAAAGCACCTCAAATATGTTTGTACAACTCAAATTGCGATCTGCCTCTCTCACTCTCACTCACTGTCACTGACTTTGGTACTGCTGCTACTTCTCTCTGAATACTTTAAATATGTGGCAGCTGAGAGTTTGGGCAGCAGCCGCCCTGGTGGTCTTTCACTTCTCTAATTGCAGCCCCCCTCTTCATCTCCCACTCCCTTTCTACATCCCTCTCTGCTGCAGCGCTCTTCCCATCATCAGTGGATTTACAGCATGGAATGTAAAATGTCGTGTAACAATAAAACATGTAATCTTCTTAATGGAGGGACTGACCTTACAAGTTTGATCCGAGTGTTGCATGTCAATGTGCCGTCACTTCTCGGTCAAACTGCAGGTCTTTATAGGGATTTGTCCCTGACATGTTTAACATTATCTCTGCTCCAACGGGGTTGAAAGGACACCTTATAAAGTCACCCTGAAGATTAGGTAACTCGTGCCTACATTACAATACAGAGACAGGCCTTTCCAGTCATTAGACAGAGCCCTGCACTACTGTAACCACACCGAGGCTGGCTCTGCTCACACACACCTCTCCTAATGGCTTTCCCAGGAGCGGCCCCTGGCTGGCCCGAACTCTTGTAATAAAAGGTTTGGATCTTTAAAGTGAAACAGACATGCCCTACATCTAGCTGGGCACAGTGTTGTGTACAGCAGAGCGAAACAAGGGGTCCATGTTGAATTTAGTGAGCATTTAATTGAGTACAGTAAGACCGAAGGGAGTAGTGGGAATTATTGTTAAGACCCAGCTCATGAGAACATAACATTGATGTCCATCCAGACATCTATTTCAGCGCTTTTACCCCACATGCATGTATTTCACTGCCCTCTTCTCTTCTTCCCAAGTGTTGTCGTCTTTGTGCTCAGTGGCAGGGTTAAGAGTTCGATCTAATTCATCCTTCTTTTTTGTACCACAGGGGCAGTGAGGTGGACAGCAGGCCTGTGCCAGTGAAGGATTAAACACTGTCATCACCCTCTCCTCCCCCCCGTTGCTCAACACTCTTCCATCACCCACGACAGCAGGTCCCAGTCCTCCCAAACTAAGGCCAAACACATGCCAAACTGCAGAGAGACAGACAGGTAACTCCACTTTGATACGCAGCATATGTTTCCAGCCTCAATGTACATCTTGACTGCCTCCATCCCCAGTTTACACAGGATATAATAATATAGGATTTTACTTTATTGGACTTTTTATTGTGTCTGTGCATGGAAAGCATTGACCCCTCATCAAATTACCTCATGAATTAAAGGGTTCTCCTGTAGATCACTAGCAGACATAAAGCCCCACCAGTCCTTGAATATGGAACTTTTCATTAAAATCGCTTTAAAAAAAGAGGCTAAACCAAAATGTATTGAACCAATCATGTCGTAATGGCCTTGGGTCTTTTCTTTTCATGTGACCCGTAAAGTGCTAACATTTGAAGTCACTCCGGAAACCCAGAGAAATAGGCGGCCATATTGTTCACACACTTGGTACTTCACACCTTTTTGTCTCGTGTCAGTGATTCTTCCTCAAACTCATTTCCAGGCCACAGTAACAGCAGTGTACAATAATGGAGGTGCCATGACATGTTCCATGTGTGCATCACATTGCCAAACGTATCAAAGGAGCGAAGGAAGATTACCTCCAAATGCTTAAATTCTTCCTGTTCTAGTGTTACTGTAAAAAATGTAAGGATTAAAAGAACATTTTGACTACTTTTTAATTTAGTTGTAAATGGCAATTTTTTCATTCCGTGTTCTATCAAAAAACAGCTGAATCCAGCATGCACACTTAACACACACTCAGGCTTTGGGCGCTGGCGTGGAAGGTGGTCATGATTCTTGGTGCCCACAGCTGGAGATCACCCACACAAATTCCAGGAGGATTATTTTAATTTAAAGCTGGGGTTTTGGGGGGTAGGAGAGCCATATTCTGTGTGGGACCCTATGTATATTAAGCAAACCACTCTTGCTGGTGGGCCATTTTAAATCATAAAATATCTGAATGCTTCAGCCCCTTTTTTCATTTACTTTATGTCCTCTCAGACACTCCTTGAACTTCTTCAGTTATTTGGATATTATCCCATGGTTCTAGTTTTCCCACACTAAATCCTGATGATATCCACATTCATAAAGGTTGGCACTGGCTGACTACAATGTAGTACAGTAAGAAGAGAGAGACAGGCCTTGGATCCAGACTTGTGTCATAAGTTCAAAACTCAGTGCGGTGAAGAAATCGTTTATTTTGGACGTCGATCCTCCATTGTAATAAGTACAACATGTTCTTTTTAGCTTGAAAGGAGACAGCAAAACATTAATGTTGGAAAGGCTAGAGCAGAAAAAAAACAGGACTGTTCATTCATGTCCAAATCTTTAACCCTACTGTTTAAATATCAGTCTTCATCCACCAACAGATTACAATATTAGCTATATGTTAATAGAATAAAGCCCCACAGACTTTAGTAGACTTTCTATATGCATATTTTGTAGAAAATGCCGTCATCTCTTATCCCAGTACATCCATCATTTGTTAAAGCAAAAACACTTTCAAGGGATCATAGTGTGACCCCGCCTTCTAATAATGTAATGTAAAAACAGTGTCGTTTCTGGCTGGCCACAAAGCGATAATGCTGAAATGTATCGTTAAAAGTTTCTCTACAATATCCGCTCTAGCAAAACAATATAATCGCGTCTAAGCTTTATCACACTTTTTATGGTCATGTTTTGGCATTCACAGCCCTTTGTTATAAGGGAACAATTGTGGTCTTAGTTTATATTGTAAAATTCCAAAGTGACTTAAAGCACTGGACAGGATGTTAACATTTAATCAGGATATCTTCCTAAGTGTAAGGGCTTTTGTTGCCCGCACATACCCATACCAAGGAACCTGGTCTCCAGTGTCAAACCTTTGACCTTTATACGCCCACTTTTCATTGTGATCACCTCCTTCCAATATGCGTGCAGAACAACAATGCTCAACTTCCTTTGCTGGAAAAAACGTACTCCATCATAGTTGGAAAACTCAATTAGCAGTACATAAATCCATCCGCACAAAAACAGTCGTTGTTATTTTGCTTTAAGTGCCACTTAAAGTAAAGCGACTGAAAATGGTAAATGAGTTTTGTGCATTTTGTGAGATTGTTCAAACCTGTGTGTAGGCCACAGGTATTGACCTCTGTTTCCTCCTCTCTGGCTGCTTTAACAGTAACTGATCCTATTTGGACGGTATTGACCCTCTGTTGGGCCAGCGCTTGCCTCCTTCTCCTTTCTGCTGGAAGCGCTGCCCCTATTGATCTCATTCTTTAAGTGTTACCATAAACTCCCTCCCCATTAGTTCAAACTGGACGGCTTTGGTCCACCCCATGGTTCACCCAGACAGTCTTCCACAGAGAAAGAAGAGCCCTCTCTCCTCTCCATACCAACTTCTCCAGACTACTCTTTATCCCTCCTGCATTGCATTGCCTCCTCTTATATTACCTCTCCATCAGCCACTCTCCTTCTCCACCCTTTCACCCATTCTTTCCTTTCTTTAAGTGTTGTGCGTCCTGGTTTCCTGCTGTACAAAGTGCTTCTATACAGGAGGGATTCAATTCACCCATAATTTGGTTTGGATACTTTTTTTACCTGCGTCATTTGCTTGTTGAGAGTGTGGCCACTGTCTCTGTTGTTGATAACGGAAATTGGACTCTCTGTATTGTGCTCAAATTAGTATCATTCTTAAAAGGGAATAGTCAGTTTACAGCAAACAGGCCATGACGTAAAACATCTCCATGAAACTGAAGTACTCTTCCTGAGAGGGCTGCTTAATGGACTACAGATGAGTTTCACCAGTGCACACAAGAGCTGGGTGACATTACATTTTGACAAATACGTTTTCTGGTTTGAGTGCCGTGAGCTCACTTTGGTGCCAGATATGAGTGGAGTTTTTCCAAGTAGAACATAAAGTCAATTTATGCTTTTTAATTTCTTCTATTGTCAACTTGTGTTATCTGGTGTTCCACAAGAAATGTCCTTCGAAATGATCAAGCACAAGGACAAAACAATTTTAATTGACCATTTGACCCACAGACTGCAACAAATGCACCCACCAATCACCTAGATAATGCCAACGCTGTCAGATATGGATTCTTGCTCCTATCATATATCTCATGATTACCTTCTTACCTAGTCTTACAGCTTCTCAAGTGTCATGTGATCACTGAGCCCCGGGTTCAATTCCCAAGGTGAGGGTTTTTCAAAATCTCCTGGAATCATTTCGCTAAAACGTTCGGAGCTCTGAAGTGTGAAACCCCGGCAGCACAAATCATTTCTGGGTGAAGCCATATGTGAGGCTTTAAATGTTGAGACGGTAATAATAATTTTGGTTTGGAGCCAGCGTCGGCCACAGAGGGTTAGATAGATCTACGCATTATGCACCTGAGTGAAGCTTTCAGTCAGTGGATGAAAATGCTGCATTATTTCCGATAGAGATTTCAATGCAGCTCTGAATTCGGGAGAACAATTCTCAAGGAACGGTTGGAGGGGAATAAAGTTGAACATTGAAGCTCCTGAATCATACATCTTAACTCAGGGCTAAATGAACCTCTTAACATGCTAAGTTGTGCATTTTTCACATTAATCATTTTGTATGTATGTTTGTTTGTACATAAACATACATGAGTGATCTGGCAGGAAGAGCTAAATTGGCTTCAAGAGATCAAAGCAGTAATTTAATCAGTCTTTCAAACGCACAGCATTTTGTGCAGGAAGTTTTCATTAAAAAGTCTGTGCATCAGTTTAAGGAGCCTCATCCACCTCCATGGCAGCCAGTTAGCTGATTAATACCCCAGAGGACCCGGTAACCAACGGCCTGCCCGTTACAGCTGCTGTCTGAGAGGGGGAGAGGGGAGGGTTGAGAAGGGGAGAGGGGCGGATAGAGACCTTAGCACTGTGCTACAATAAATCTCTTCCAGCCAGCACACGCACTTATACCCTGTAATACTTTTATTTGTGTTTGTATAAACAAGCACTTAAATCTAATCTTCAAGTGGAAATTTAAAATTGTGTTTTTCCATGTTTACACACCACACTTCCAAGATAGAACACACATACGCTACAACTCCTTCAAAATGTCAGTACTTTCAGAAACAGAGCAGCACCTTGGCAGTAGTTTTAAAATAATAAACAGTAAATATTCTTGCAACAGTTTAAGATATTTAAGACTAAGCCAAATCTGCACACAAGCAGTTAATGTCTACTGAGCAGATATCAACACAATAATACAGTATAGATCTCTACAATGTCAGTGTGTGTCGAATGCTGACGATATTCAGATATAGAAACCATCTTTTTCTGGTCCATACTTGAAACCAAACTGCTTGTGATGTCATTTATGGTTGCTCGTAATTATCAGATATGTAATAGCATTTAATTTGTCAACTTTTGACAGTTGCTTCCAGTGATAGACTTTAGGCTGACTGCATTTCTTCAACCTTGATTTTTTTTGTAAATAACATCAATGCAATCCATCCATAAAAGAAACAGCTTCCATTAGGGGTAGTTCACTTCCTTTTGACCGAAAAAAACAACAACCCACCTATAATAAAGGTTGAAAACTCATTATTTTGACCATGCTGAATGACCTTATGCTGTTAACCCCCCAAACAGCCACCCACCCAGTGCTGCTGTGCTACATATCCACCTCATTAGGTCCATTAATCCAATCTTGTGGTTCTTCTGTTCAAACCTTTTTCATTATCTGGTTGATTTATGCCGCAGAATCACTGTGTCCAAGAGACACTTGAATATCATCCGGGGCGAGGAAGGGGTTTTATTCCTGATTTGGAGAATTGCTCAGTCCTGTGCATGAGGGCTTAACATCTACAGTACAGCTTATAATGAGACGGCGGTTTGACTCACGCTGCACTGACCAGAGGTCAGCGGCTTGCTATGATATGATGCCGAAATCAAATGTCAATGGATATTTAATCTATGGGATTCTGCACCGAGGCGCAGCTGAAAAAGGTTGTTCGCAGCATAATGAAGTGTTGTGATGTTGGGTGGAATGTGTTTTTACATTTATTATTCGACATGCAGTGGAACGTTATTTTTACCCTTATAAAGAACTTATTCAAGGTAATGTGTTAGCTGTTGTTCTTGGCAACTTCTAAAAGGTTGAGATGTAATCACTTCTCTTTGTCCATCAGCTAGACTAAACACTTTTTTTTTACGAGGTTAATCAAGAAAATGTGGTATGCAGACACTTTAATCTACTGTAATATCTCTGTCAAATAGATGCTTTGGATTGATGAGATAACATCATATCTAAGTGGGGTAGTTTTATAGGAGTGTAATATACACTTCAATAAAAGGTCTTTAACCTGAGAGTAGTGAGGATGTTCGTCCATTTGAAAATTGTAAAAGCAACGCCCGACAGCTGCCGCTATTCGCTGCACATACACACTCACAGAGTCCACCCTGTGACCCCGTTCACCAACATCTCCATTAACCAGAGCACAGTGTGATTTCATTACATCAGGCTTAATTGCGTTCGCTGCATCTCTATGTGCTCTAGTAGAAACAGTGGCATGAGGGCGGCTGGAGGAAGCACAAGATAGGAGCGGCGGCGGGGACACAGGGCAGAGGGGATGTGAAAGCTTTTATTCACTGCCTTTTTAAAAAGCTCTTTATTCCACCCCACTGCATTTCCCCCTCCGCAAGGCTGAGAGCATGTCTGCACCGAGAA